TTTTTTTTTTTTTTTTTTTTTTTTGTGTGTGTGTGTGTGTGATGGTAGTAGTCCTTAATTAACAGCAGGCTTTCCAGCAGGACTCTTAACTCGTGAGCTGTTTGAGAATCATGATGTTGCAATGGCTGTGCTCCTGCTGTACTAGGGAAAGAAGGTTTTAGCCACAGACGCTGTACTGCTCATCGATCTGAGGTTGGCGCCAATCGAGAAGGGTGCACTGCGCAGTCCCGTGTTTCATTCTTGTGCCATCATCTGAAGAGGAGGGAGGAGGGAGGAGATCACAGTATCTAGAATGTATATCTATTTGGTTCGTTGGCTCATCAGTGTCAAGCAGCAAACGTGGTGGTGATGATGACAGAGCATTCACAGCAGACCTGGGTGAGACGCTGAGGGGTAATAGGTAGGTAGGGGCCAATTAGGCTAGATAGGGGGTAATTACGAATTAGGCTATATTGGGATAATGCTGCATTATTGTTAAGGCTTACTAGGGGTGCATAGGCTTAATAGGGGCCAATTAATAAACCTCCATGCAGGAAATATATAGCCTAATAAACCTCGTATTAGGCTTAATAGGGGGCGATTAAGCTATAACGCCTCGTCAATAGAATGTATGGCCCGATAAGCCTCACATTAGGCTGAATAGGGGATGATAAGCCTTGTATTGTGGACTTAAATAGTAGGGCAATAACTCACGTTAGACTTGAGAGGGGGGGCTGATTAGCCTGGTATTAGGGGGTGATTAGGCCATACTGCTCCATGAAAGAAATATAGAGCCTGACGAGCCTCATATTAGGCTTAATAGGGGGTGATTACCCTCATATTAGACTTAGTAGGGGTGATAAGCATAATCTCAGACTTAAGAGGGGTGATGAGGCTATATTCATTTCGTTCATGGAGCAGCAAATATGAGGCGGCATCACTGAAGAAGGAAAAAAGAAAAAAGAAGAAAAAATTATAATCTCAGACCTGGTAGTGTGGTAAAGGGGGTAGGTGAGCAGAACATCAGAGCATTTGATACACCCTCCACCATTCAACGAGGGGGAAAAAAAAAAAAAAAAAAAAAAAGATAAGAGAAAAAAGCATACTTGCGGCACATCGACCCTGTGCGCTGCGCGGTGCGCGGACCCGAGGTGCGTGCGCCCCGGCGCGCACCGCACACCTGGGTGCGCGGTGCGCGGTGCGCTATGCGGGATGCGCTGCGCACAGGGCTGGTGCGCCGAGCGCGGGTGCGCCGGGGGGTGCGCGCTGCGGGGCCGCATATGCGCCAGGTGCGCACAGCATATATTTTCTATTTTTTATTTTTATG